TGACTAGTAATAGTAGCACAAATGTAATTAGAAACTGTATATATGTTAGAGAAAAGCCTTTAAAAATAAAAATAAAAAAAAGTTTCTACGTTGGTAATATAAAAAAAAAAAAAAAAAATTGACTAATTCTAACTTTCTTTGCAGGAAAACTGAAGAAATCCAAGTAAATTTATAGAATTGATGAAAAGATCGTTTATTACATTATACTGCTTACACATTTATCAAGCTTAAAATAATATTCAAGAATTTGCTAACAATTAATTTTATATAGCTGTGCTAAGTTTTAGTGAATTATGAAGGTATAGCAATATTTACAATTATACTTATATAATCTGCATATTATTTGCACAAAATATGAATAAAATAATAGACATTATTCATAGTATCATGATAACAATAAAATATATATTTAATATAATTCGAATGAATTTTTGTAATACTGCGCAATTTTATGATATTAACAAGTCAATAATTAAACAAAAACCACTTAAACAGAAGACAAAGTTTGTACATAATTTATAAATTTTTGTTTGGAAAATTGTTTGGAAAATCGACTACATTCCGAACATTTTTTCAAACAAAAACTAAACGAAAAGTTGAATGTACAACTAAATAATTTTAGTATGTTTTTAGAACATTTTTTAAACAAACTTTTTTTATAGAGTCGCTCTTTCGCATGTTAAAGACTAATAAATATTTATTATTACTCCACCTATTTAAATAAACTACCATATACTTCCGAAATTAAGCACCCTTTTTTTGTTATATGGGTGTTTATTTTCGGGTTATAATGTGATCGACACAAACTGGTTTTAACCAGTTTTTATCCTAGCAACTATTTAAAGGGGGTGCTTAATTTCGGGTGAATATAGAATGTGGGGTGCTTATTTTTGGGGGTGCTTATTTTTGGGGGTGCTTATTTTTGGGGGTGCTTAATTTCGGAAGTATACGGTATTAAAATTAGAACCCTAGGTAGGAGCGTAGAAACGTATCTTGTCAGATCTCTAGTTTTTTGAAGTAGAGATTATATTGTATATGCCTATACAAGAATCGTTGTGATTAGCTTTTCGAATGTGAGTTATTACGGCTTGGTTCAAGTTAGCTTTATCTTATGTCACAAAGATCCCTGGGACTGGCATTAATTCAATGCATATTTTACTGGCTTTACTTGGACTCAGTTTTATGAATTTTAAAGATCACTCGAATAATTCGCACAAGATCTAACCAACCAATAGTTGAGTTTAAATCAGATAAATGCGATAAATTGTACTTGACCCCGTGATCGTAGGTCGTATTGAGCCGCAATAGAGAAGTCGGATACCGGGTTCACAATATTATGATCGGGAATCTTCCATGGGAAGATTCCTGGTCACAAATATTCACACGAAAAATTATAATAAAGGTAGGCATGAACAACGTAAGGCAGGGTTATTCATGAATTTCCTGTGAGGAGTTAAAAATCGCGATGATCATATGATACATACGGTCCTTCGGGCCATCTGTATCCTATTATCATCGAGAATCTCTGTTGTAGTTTTTAAGCTCCCAGAAAATTAATAATACTTATTTATAGCATGATATTTATTTTAACCAATTTTTTTTTAAATACCATATTTATGTATAATAATGTGTGGTTATATTTTTGCATTATTTGGTTATATATAATTTGAATCATCTTTTAATAAATTCAGTACAACAAATATATACAGTTGAATCTCCCCAAACCGATATGCATGGTGGCAGGTTTTGTATTGGTATTGAGAGGTTATCGGGTTTGAATACATTATAAACAATTAAATTTATATAGCAAAAACAAACTTTGCAGATGAATTAACAGGATCGGGTTTTAGAGGTTCAACTGTATTTTAGTCAAATATACAATTTTCAAAAAAGTAAAAATTTAAATTAATGCTTATATGTAAAATTGGCAAGGAATGTATTTTCGGTCTTTAAGATTTTTGACGAACAATTTTAGGATTGCTTGGTCGCTTTGTATTAATCTCATCCTGCTACATTTAACAAATAATGCCAATAGTTTATAATAGTTATTTAAAAAGATAAATTTTAATGGAATTAATTTTCCTTTTAGAATTTGATACATACGAAAATGAGCTTAAAATTTTTAGGACAGTCTGAAAATCAACACTTATATGCATTATTATACTGTATTATAGGTACACAAAATAATATGTTTGTGATCTAGTAATTTGGCATTTTAATATTTTAATAATGTTTATTTGTATATCTTATACAGTATATTAATGAACTGAATAATAAAAGCTAGAAAATACTAGAATTAATGAAAATTTTCACACATGTGATTTTAAACCAGGTAATTGCGAACCAAAACAGACAGTGCCCACAGACAATACTCATATGACAGACTACCACCACCACACCACGCCATTATCCGTACTATCTGTAAGAACTGTTTCTCTATTGTCTAAATCTGACTATACGCCTGCTCTCTCATTAATATAACTATGAAACATCCAGCAAGTATTAAGATCATTAATACAGATCCTAATATAACTCTATCTATACTATTAGAGAAACAATCTTGTGTCATAAGTTTTTGGAAATTAAAATATCTAAAGAGACCCAATCCAAGAAAAATAATCCCAAACCCTATAAAAGCTATTCCTAGCCTTTTACTAGCTTCATCATCCTTATTTGAATCGAGTTTTAATATAGATTGTGTGATTGCTAGTAACATTTTGAAAGGATTATAATTTAGTAATATTGACATTAAAGCTATATATATATAGTATACATAAATATATTTATGCATAAACCCACCTATTCCAATGCTTATGAACGAAAGAGACATCCTAAGCCATGCGAGGAAGGTTCTTTCGTTGGCTTATAAAGTTCAAAAGATGAAAAGTTAATTGAAATATAACTTATAATTCATAACCATTATAGTATATTCACCTAAATGATCTCTCGCAACACTTGCTTTATTTTCTAATACTAATGATGGGTTGTATTTTTCAAGTTTCTCCATTATCCGTGTTTTATGAGAAGACTTATCAGGTCTGTTTGTGAGTATGTCATCGTTATTCATCCTTAAGAGATTTTTTGATAAATTCGTGCAAGAAGGAATAATAAGGTATGGATCGTCATTATTATAATTATTGCTGTTAGAACTTGAAACTACACAATATTAACTGACATTTTATTGTTTTTAATAATTATGCATTGCAGAATTTCTAAAACTTTTTCCCGTCAAATATAAGCTACGGAAAAAAAATAACACCCATCACTTAGCTCGAAACCTTCTAAATCATATTATGTTATATAGCTGGTCGTGTAAGAAATATACTTCAGCTCTATCCTATTCTAATACTTCAAATTTGTGATCAATATGTTAGCAAAATTCTTTAAAACTCATTGACGGTAGGGTTAAAAGTTATATTAGGACTAGCTACTAACACATAATAAAGTCGTTCAAAGAACCTTTTTAAAATAAATCGTACAAGGAAACTTCTATTAAAACATTAAAGATAGTTTCTTACGTTTCTTATGTGAATTTTTGATTTTTGAAAAAACAATCAAATTTTCCCATCGTGTTATGTTACACCTAATCTTGAAATCTGATTTGTAACTCATGAAATCTGTGCCACTAACCTGACACAATTCTGACGTACGACGGTCTCATTGTCCTACAAATTTTACCGATAATTTTAAATGGGTTTAATATGTATTGTTTGAAATAATGCAGTACACCACAATAATTTACTTGATAATTCTTGTTAAAAATTCTTTATTCATAGATTATTGTATTATAATAACTCGGGTAACTATCTCTATATATTATCTACAGTATTTTGAATAATGGCAAAATTTTGTAACTTTCATAAATAAATCGACCTACCGTTATTAAAATTTTTTGATCAACCTGACGAAGCAGATGCAAAAAATACGAAAGATAACTGTCAAAACCTTCTTAGAAAGCTAAAAGATATAATTTTACTTGTAATACTTGTCCATATTCTAATTAAAATGGTGACGAATGACGAAATCATATCGTCAAGCAACTTCGAGTTTGGCGAGTGACTAAACTCTCGACGAATGACGAAACGCATATACATATAGCATATTGGCATAGAGATTTTAAAACAAGGTCTACTTTAGAACTCATGAAGTGAATTATGTCAACTCTGTTATTTTTCGTGTTAGTAAAAATTTTACCAATCGATTAGTTGTCAACTTGCACGATTATGTTGGTCACGTGATTAATTTAATCGATTAGTTGTTTGGTTGCTTACCGTATGCCACTACGTACTTATGAACCATTATACAAGCGATATTGCATACTACTGTCACGGTTTAAAACTCAAACCCGTATTCTGATGAGACTTGGTAGTATCAAAGCTCAAATGACTCTAGCCACAAGAATATTGTGAGGCTCCTAGGTCACTGCTGAAGGCTTAGAAATACAGATCAATCCCGGTGGTTGAATACTCCTACTGTATTATACGATAACATTAGATAAAAGCAATCGAATAATGTATAGGGAAACCGGTAATTGTGATAAATATTTGGAGAATAAGTGTATAATTGTGAGCAATATTTGGAGGATACTTTTCTGACACGGGTTGCTCACAACCCGCATGTAAGCGATAGGAAGGCATGTTGGAAGTGAAAGAATTCTTAGAAGGTTATGGGCACGCTCGGGATTTTTAATACATATGATAACAGATAAAATTATCTGGCCGGTATTACTATGTCATCTGGCTGGCATTAATATAATATCTGACCTGCATTAACATATTTACCGTAAATTCTCGAAACAGTGGGCATGGCATTGTTTCGAATTTTGGGCCGAAATTCAAAATAAAGCCCATGCCCCATTATTTTTCGTTTCTTGTCGAAGACAAAAAATTTATTTTTAAAAATTTTGGATATCTCTAGAAATGATATTTACAAAGCACCTTCGCTGGCAAATCGTTGAAAAAAAATTTGGAAGTCTTATCAGTTCGACAAATTGCTAAACACTTAGGTGTCAGCAAGTCTTCTAAACTATCTGCTTCAGATGGACGAACTAATTTTAATCGTTAGTACTAAAATTTTCAATATATAAATAATATAAACATATAAAATTTTTTAGATTCATTTTTAAACCAGTCGACAAATTCATATTAACTTTTTTAATAGCGGCACCTGTTTGTGTAATATATTTGTTATAAAAGTCTAATTTATACCCGGTCCCTTTTTTAAATTGCTTGCTAAGGTTTATTGGTTGACACGAGTAGTCTTTTCCATAAATTTTCGTGCAAACTAAACACCAAGCATGTTGAACAAGCGTTGGAAGAAAATTTAATAACATTGACATTTTGTTATAATTGGTCATAATAGCTTTTATTATTTTTATTATATAATGGATTATGCTGAAATCACTAACTTAATATAATAGCTGTAAAGATTACTTTCATCTGTAACTTACCGGTTACTTACCAATAAATTACACAAACCTGGGCATGGGCGTTATTTCGAATTTTGGCCCGCATTAAGCTTAATTCGGGCCGAATTTCGAAATAACGCTCATGTCGCTATTTCGAAAATTTACAGTAGAACAAGAAAATTAAATTTCTGCATGGTTTTTTATTAGACACAAAAAATTATGATACCCACAGATTTGTGATCCTATCCCGCGCGGGATTTTCGGAGAAACCGTGATTTGCCCATCTCTAGTCACGGGTCGAAAATTAAACTGGGTCAAACGGGTCGGGATTTAAAATAGGCAAAATTTGCTAAAATAATATTTTAATGTTTATATATTGTACTTATATAAACATATTGATAGATTACAATTTTACTAAAGCTCTTACCGAGACAGTACGGGACAGTTTCTGATAGGTCATGAGTCAAAAATTGGATCAAGTAGTATGGGTAAAAAATAATAAACTTGGGTTGCTCGAAGAAATTTTTGATACCTCATAAGCGCGAAATAACGCTCGTGGATGTTATTTTGAAAATCGAATCCTTTAAAAATAGTTAAGTGGTCTTGAATTAGTATCTATTGGTGTTCCTAATCATTGTTGGGAAAATGATACATAGCCGATCTTCCATAAGTGCATCCTTTATAAGTGCACTTCATATACACTTTCTTTCCATAAGTGCACTTCACATACACTTCTTTCTATAAGTGCACATCATTTTAATCTGTCTAATGTAATGTATAGTGTAAAAAATTTGATGTTCACATGTGAGGATCGCATATGAAATTTTCTTATTTTAATATGAAGAAAGCATTTAGTCACATGAGTGCGTACATACTTCTCAAACTGAAATTTTTACACTGGTAATGTAACATTATATGTAGATTACATTCTATAAGAGCATATTCGTAAATGCACTTTTTCCTAATTACATACATTTATAGAGAACGTCTAAAGCGGAGTAGATCTTATAATATATATTTATTGAATTAACTTTAGGATTAGTATCATCTTATATTAGAAATAGATTAGATTTAAACCAATTATATATAAGCAAAATTGCCTTCCCGACATTTTTAATTAACTTACCCAAGGTAGTTTTAGACTGCCATTTTTGTATTTTCAGGAGTTTCGCTTTTATTTCTTGTCTTGTTTCGCCGGGGATCATCAAATTCTATAATTTGATTAGCCATATTTCACATGACTCTGCTCCACTTTAGACGACCCAAAGATTGACGGTATTGGATTTAAAAAAAAAACTCTTATTTCGAAATGACACACATGGGCGTATTCAAATAACACGAAGATGGCGTTTATACAGTGTGAACCGCAAAGCATGTGAGAACTGTCAATCGAAGTGGCTCGGAAACAGTTCCACAAATATGTTGATCCTTTAGGCCGTTTGAAGTTAATTTTTCGGTTAACATCAACCCCCTCCTCTTTGGCGTCCCCCAGTAAAATGGCATATAAAAAAGTAAAAATTAAAAAATCCATATAACTACAAAATAACGTGATGGGGTGTGGTTTCGAATTTCGGCCTAAATTAAGCTTAATTCAGGCCGAAATTCGAAATAACACCCTATGCACTATTTCACAGTTATACGGCAAATATAAAATAAAAAATAATAATTAAAATAAAATGAAAAATTAAATTAAATTAAATTAAATAAATTAAAATAAATAAAATAAAATAATTTAAATTAAATTAATATAAATTAAATTAAAAATAAAAAAAATTTTTTTTAAAAAAAAACAAGAAATAATTCAGTTCCCACTTGGCTATCCTCTCATATATATTTATTTCAGTCTGTGATGAAACGGGTCAAGAAAAACTTCCAAAAAAAGAGCTTCCAAAGTGTTTTTTGATTCAGTTGTGAAGAGAGAATTAGGATTAATAAGTAAAAAAAATAAGAAATATTTAAATAAAACATTTAACTTTTACAGAAATAATGAATTGATACTTTTTTACATTTTTTAAGCCATCTGATTAGTAATTTATTTAAAATTTGTACATATTCAGCCAATAGAAACTTGGCGAATTAGTAAACTGATCTGTGATCACTATATACATACTTTAAAAAATGAAGACCCAATCACTAAATCACGAGAATTTTGGCTGTAAAAATAATACATATAAAGTTGTTTTTCTTAGATGAATGCATTATATAATTAATTATTTATTTTTTGCTCTCTTTTATAATAGTAATGTATTGTTAACTACTAAATTAAATTTATCTGACCTAATTAGCAACTCAACTATTGAAGTCAATTCATTATAATAGATTTACTACATTAAAAATAGTTTGTTCATTTTATATGTTTGTTTCATTCACCACTCTCTCCCTTTCGAGAGTTCTGGAAAGTAATATTAACCGAAAAATGAACTTCGAATGGCCTTACTAAAAATAGAGTTACCCTGGCTATATATGCTGTATTCACTGTATATGGTATATCAGTTGTTTAATGTGATAAAGGGAATCATGAATGTAATCAGTATAATAAGTATAAGCAGTATAGTCATTATAAGGCCACACAAAGTTGATTTTTCATTTTGCATTATGTACTATCTTATTTTTTCAATTTTTTTTTAGATCTCAATTATGCCAATTGTTCGATTTTTGACATCTATTTTCCCTGCTATTTTCAACTTTGCATGGCCTAATCGATATAAGCATTTAGATCAGTATAAAAAGTAAAAGCAATATATTGCTTAAACTATATGTAGCATGTCCTAATTAAAAGAAAGTATATAATAAAGATTTCTTACCCTTGAGAGAAAATATCCTTTATAATTCCTATAAAATTCATATCTTTATACTTCTATCCCTATATATCTGGTAAATAAATACTTAACCTTAATTGGCTACTTAGATAGCATATGTAGAGCAATCTTTGTATTTTGCTCATGTAATAAATACAAATTAAACTCTGTCTGGTTAATTTTTGACGAACTGAGGACTTCCATAATTGATATTTTCCATGTTTTGACAGGCTAAGATAGTTGTAGTTGTTTTTCAACTTTCCCAACAAATTGTGGATTATTATAATTGTTTTTTCAGTATTCTGACGTATTGTGGATTCTGTGTTCTGGTTTGGGTTATTGTTAAAGAACTGGTTTGGGTTATTGTTAAAGAACTCAAGCTGAGGTTATTGTATTAATATAAAGCACAAATATTAGAGCATTATCAAGGTTTTGTATAAAGTAGAAGTCATACTTATAACCTCTAAAATCATCTACTTGCCAAATCTGAACACTCCTTTTGATTAAGCCAATTATAAATTATACAAGATCTTGGATTGTCAAGTGACCGACTTGCCGGTTTTCCATTGTCAACAGTTCAAACTCTGAAAAAATCTGATTTAAATATTTGTTGGTATGTTTAGATATACTATAATAAGCACATATCATATATGATCAATATAACACATTGATCTGGGTTATAACCCAGGTCAATATTTGACCCATCTTGGTTGTTATTTTCTGATCCGAGTAATATTTCTAAAATTATGTAGATACAATATTGGCACAAAAAAAAGCCTAAAAATTGGTTCAAAATACAATTTATATACAGTATACAGGGTATAAGTCTGTGCAAGAAAAAAATCAATTAAATTTTATTAATTATAAAATTTTTAGAAAATTTATTGAATATGAAATCACTTTATGTTCCAGTAAAAAAAAAATTCTATTCAAAATCTTACTTTAACCTAATCTTACTTTAAAATTAGCTTAATTTATGCTGATCTTTACAAGTTTGCATATATTCTTGCAAAAATAATTATGAAACTATATTATTTCTAAAATTCAATTGACTTTTAGAGATAGCAAAAGCCTAGTGTGATCATATGTTTTTAATTATTTAATATCTCTTCAAAACTTTTTATAAATATCTGAGATAGATTTAGAATTGAATTCAAAAACATTTCTGGCTTTATCCTATCTCTTTTATAATACAGTTTGTAATATTTAGAGATGGCAAATATTTTAAAACACAATATTAAAAATCATAATTGTTTGATTTAAATCTTAAAAATATTTAATACATTATAATGTAATTATAATTCGATTTGGCATACTAAAAATATATACAAGGTTGTGCTTATCTTCTAGTATCATCTAAAAATAATGCAATCATATGAGAATTAAAAAATTCTTTGAAGTTCATTTAGGTTAGGCTTAGGTTCTATGCTAAGGTTAGAGTTAGAGAAGCTTTAATAGTAAAATCACTTAAGAAAAACTTTTTGTTAAAGCACTGTAGATAGTTTTTATGCTTCTTTTTGAAAAACAAGTGATTTTCACATGACTGCAACTTTTTTAGTTACTATAATTTATACTTTTATTTGCACATAACATTAAAGAAAATAAAATAAAAAAGAATTATATATATTTATTTAATTCTATTTCAAATTCTTTATTATTATATTAAAACTTGCCCAATAATTACATAACAAAACATGTATTTATATAATAAAAAACAAGCTGTATTCTAGAAGGTGTATTTATCTGCTAAAAGTTCTTTAAATAATTTATTTGTATTTTCATAAGGAAACTTTTTTTTAGTTTTTTAAATCATCTTTAGCATAACCTTTATTACAATATTATCACAAACAAATTATACACAACTCTTTTTGTAACAAATTGACATACTAAAAAAAACAAGTTCATTATTAAGAGGTTCATTAGACTGGTTATACTTATAAAGTCAGTTGTATAAAAAAAAATTTTATTGAATAAATTATTAAGTTTAAGTTTTTTAATTTTTTTTTTATTAAATAAAATAAATCTATAAAAGAAATTTTTGTTACTTTATTAATATATTTGCTAAAAGAATTTATTTTCAAATTACAATGTATATAAGTCTATTAATAATTAATTAAAAAAATTTAACAATTTGTAATTTAATGAATAATATTTATAATTACTAGTATTCAAGAAAAAAAAACTAGAAAAAAATTCTTTAAAATAATGTTTCATATTCATTTAAAGCCTCATTGTGGAGAATTTATGAAATACATCAAAATTTGAAATTTTAACTACTAATGTATAAATATTGATTTTGGCTGAGATGATTAATATTTCTCTGATTAGAGGGTGTTGTTATAATAAATTATATATCTAATAAAAGTTGGGAAGATAGGTTAGACATGTTATTAGTCTAGATTAGAGGTTTAGACATTTTTTAAGGTTTGGTATTTGATTTATTAATATTGGAACTAGTGATCAAATTTCATAAATTCGCTATAATGCTATTAAATGAAATTCTTTAAACTTTACAAAAGTTGCTGAACCTGCTAAACATGGTAAACAATATTTCATCGAACAATATCTCATCAAAAATGCAATACTTACAAAGAAGACTGCTGATTAAGTTAACCAATTAAATAATCACTTATTAAAATATAAAAAACTTCAAAGAAATATTATGAATTTATTAAAAGATCAAATAATTCATTTGCAAAACTTATTTAATGAGGTTTATATAATAATATTGTAAATCTTGGACTTTTAATATCAACAAAAGTAAGACTAATATAGAATAAAAGATTGTATTTAGCTAATAGGTAAAATTTTTTATTTAAAAATGTAATAAATACTTTGATAAAGTTTTTTTTTTCCCTTTAGCAAATCTTGCCATGACTCTTTGAACCCTCCAGTTATATATCCAACCCAAAGACTGGTTATTGCATACTTTTTGTATGGGACAGGCCTGAACCTCTGGTACTACTTTGGATACCCAGATTCGACTGCTGCACCAACGTTCAGAGACATTAGATAACTTTATAGATAATAGAAATTTTATCCATCAACTGGGTATCACTACGAGTTCATGTAGTATCTTTAATGTTTAGATTTAGACCTCGCATTACATCTTATGACTTTGGTTATTTCAAATTGGGGTTTTAGCATAGCTTTCTTCACAGCCACAGCTTCTTAGAATAATTATTTCCTGAATACGTCTATACCCCATGGTGTTTCACTTTTATATTTAGTTTTTTTATTATTTTGCTACTAGGAGGAATTGAACTGGCAACTTTATGATTTGTAACATGGGAGCATAACACTATGCTATCAATCTACAGGTTGACTTTAATAAAGTTAAAATGATTAAATATATTTATTTTACTTTATTTTTTTAATTTTATTTGTTTTTATAACAAATTTAAAATTTAATAGTACTGTCTTTTTTAAAAAATTTATCTTGTTTTTATAACAAATTTAAAATTTTATAGTACTGTCTTTTTAAAAAATTTATTAGCTAAAAATTAAAATTAACCAATCTAAAGTAATACTTTTAGCTTTAGCAAAATGTTTAATATTAGACTTCAATATTTTTAAACTGTTTTTTATCTTTAGTAATATTAAATTATCAAACACTATCAAATAAACTAATATTAAAATAAATATTATTAATTTATCAATCTGAAAATTTGAGAAATGCAATAATAAACTTTTTTTAATAATAAAGTAAAAATTAATTTATTTAATAAATATAATCAAGAAATTAAGATAAAAAATAGTATAAAAATTTACATAGTCAAGCTCTTTACAGTTTGGTTTTATTAATATTTATTAAGTGAAATAAATGATGATAATTTATTAGTTTTTGTTATAATATTTTTATGTAAAAATAGAAGGTTTTTGGTAAAAAATTAAGTAAAATAATTGAAAAAATGCTAAAAAAATCAATTAATTATAGTTAAAATAATAGTAAATTTACTAATATATGATAAATAAAAGTTAAACTATTACATTAACTAATTAAAGAATTTAAATTTGGCTAATATAAAATAAAACTTTGCAAATTACATAATTTTAACTATTTACTTATGATAAACCAATTTATTCTGAAAGTATAAGATAAGAAAAACATGTAAGCAAATTTTAAAGTGATATTGCATAAAAGAACTAGCAACTTTTTAATAAACTGTGCAAGTTAGTTACAAAGTATATTATCAAATACTTTGTTATTTATTAATAACTCACCACTTATTTAATAATTGACTAGTGAATAATAATAAGTGAAGATTCTTACTAAACACAATGCCTCTATTAAAAATATAAATTGTTAGTTAAAATATATTATTTAAAATCATAGTTATTAATTTTATGCTTACAAATAATTTAATTCAGGTATTTTTTAAAATATATATTATTAAATATAAAGAATATAAAAATATAAATTTAAAAAATATAAATAAAAAATTAAAAACAAATATATAAAGTTTATGCTTTTACTTACGGGCTAATAATTTAATAAAAATTTGTTAAACAATTTGCCAAATATATATTTTAAAGGAAATTTATATTCATAAAACCATGTTACATAACACCCTATGCTGCGTATTAAGTAAAAGGGATCGGGTATCTTAATCAGGACCCCTAAAAACCTCACAAGAACTGCCTTATATTATATTATATTATATAAAGACACCTATATATCTTAAAGCTGCACCGTAACTCTAATCTAACTTCAACTCAAACTATATAGAGTGTTATATCAACACGGTGTTATGAATATAATATTTCTATTTTAAAATTAATAATAATATTAAAAATAATATAATAATCTCTTACTTACCGACTAATTGGTAGAGTTATTTTTAAAGCATTTTTAGATATATTTTAAGATTAAAAATAAAATAATATAAAGCTCATACTCACGGACTAATAATTTGGTAGATTATTTGTTAAACGTTTTTAGATATTTATTTTAAGATTATTAATAATATTAAAAATAAATATAATAAGCTCTTACTTACCGACTAATTGGTAGAGATATTTATTAAAGCATTTTTAGATATATTTTAAGATTAAAAATAAAGCTCATACTCACGGACTAATAATTTGGTAAAGTTATTTGTTAAAGCATTTTTAGATATAAAATTTAAAATTATTAATAATATTAAAAATAAATATATAAAGTCTTATACCTACCGACTAATGATTTAACAAAACCATTTGTTTAAATATTTTAAAATGCATTATTTAAGAAAATTTCCGTGTAATAAATAAACCTTTTTTATTATAATGCTTATACATACCAACTAATAATTATCAAGAGAAAATCATATATTATAAAGTTATAATTAGCGTAATATAAAAAGCAAGTAAAAATTTAACTATCAAGCTTATACTTACTGGCTAATAATTTGATAAAGAAAATATAAATTATAACTTTATAAATATATCTTACAATCCTCAATAATTTTAATAAATTTTATACTTACCCGCTAATAATTGGACAGAATCATTTTTTAGAATACTTGCTAGATGCATATTTTAATATCTCAATAATTTAATCTTATACTTACCGGCTAATAATTAGACAGAGGTATTTGTTAGAATACTTGCTAGATGCATATTTTAATATCCTCAATAATTTTAAAAATAAAGATAAAAAAGCTTATACTTACCGACTAATAATTTGACAGAAATATTTGTTAAAATATTTATTATGTGATTTATAAATTATTACTTTAAAAATTTATGATTTTTTTATAGTATTTACCAGCTAATAGTTTTACAAAAGCATTTGTAAAATATGTGTTATTAGATATAAAAATGTATAAAGTAGTTTAAAATTATCAAATAGTAATTATAACTAAGCTTATAATACCAGCTAACAATTTGCAAGAAAAAAAATCAGATTATAGAATTATTATTACGTAGTATAATTTAAAATAGTTAAATTTAAAAGCATATACTTACTAACTAATAATTCAATAAAAATATATGATATTATAAATAGCACCAATTAAATCTGTTAAACAAAAATTTAAAACCAAATATAATAACGCTTATACTTTACTGACTAATAATATAATAAAAGAAAATATGTATTATTATCATTTAAAAATTATCTAATGAAATAAATATAAAGTATATACTTACGGACTAATAATTTAGTAGAATATTTATTAGATAATAATTTTTAAAAATAAATATAATACGTAAAGCTTATACTTACTTGCTAATAATTCAATAAAAGATGATGCATATTATTATAAAGTTATAAATAACATCATTTAAATTACCGAGTGAAAATTTTGTAACAAACATAAAAAGTTTAAATAAAAGAAAATTGTGCATTATAAAGTTATCATAACATTAAAATAAAATAAATAAAAAAATTTAAAACCGAATATATTAAAGCTTATGCATACCAGCTAACAATTTAACAAGAGAAAGTGTAAATTATGGATTATTAATAAATAAAATCATCAAATGAAAAATTTAGAAACAAATATATTAAAACTCATAATCATTCGCTAATAATTTAATAAAAGAAAATGTAAATTATAATGTTATAAATAAAATAAAATGTAAATCATAATGTTATAAATAAAATAAAATCTTAAAAACAAATAAAACTTTTACTTACAGCCTAATACGTAATTTGATAGATAAGATTGTTAAGATGCATATTTTAAAATTCATCAAACTGTAAATTTAAAAATAAATATAATAAAACTTATACTTACCTATTAGTAATTCAATAATAATTTGGATACAAGTATAGTAAGCTTATACGTAGTAAACTTATGCTTACCAGCGACTAATTCAATAAAAAAAAAGTTAAAATGTGCATTAAGGTTATAGATAATAAATTGGATATTATCAAATGATATTCCAGTACATACGCTCTAATAATTTAACAAAGGGTTATAAATTTTGATATATTTAAAAAAATAAACCGTTATAAAGCAATACATCAAATTAATTACCTTTTTTCTAATACATCACGTTCTTCTAAGACAGCACGTTCTTCTAAGGCATCACTTTCTTCTAAGACACCACGTTCTTCTAAGGCATCACGTTCTTCTAAGAAAGCAGGCGAGGCAATTGTCAAGGAAACATTTAAAATAGCAATGATAACAACTAAAACGATGTAATTGAATTTCATTTTGACAGTTTTAGACAGAACGAATTATCAGATAAGTGATAATTTAACACCTTTATCGAGTTCAAGCTGTATTTATAATTAAGAAGGCTAGGCATTCATATCCGTTTTTGGCTTAAAATCTTTTTTGGAAAATTACTTATTTTCATTTTGAACCATTTAAAACAAATTTAAGATAAATTTTTGATACATCCTCCCGACTCATATTCATATTTTTAACTCCAATTACATCAGAAAAATCTTTAAACGTAATAATTGGCAAACTCATGTACCTTTTAGTACATGATAGAACGACTACAGTTATTTCAATTAATGACCTGTTGAGTAACGTGCGGAAGAGTTGATGAGAACATCCATGTAAATTAGACTTTGTTCGTATTAATGGTTAGTGGTAAGGCGTAAGGGGCTGTGTATGGTTTGTTGAAAAAGGTAATTTTTCTCATTGAGATGATTTAAATGTGTTATTGTATACAATGGTTAAGGTTATCCTGAAGATGCAAGAAAGGGGTTTCTCAATAATTATCATACTATCTTGTTATGCAACTCCATTCATTAAGTCTTTTAACGAACTTATCAAATTAATTTATGAATATATTAATATCACACTTAAGGATCAATTAAGTCGTTCATCTATTTAAATTAAATACATCATTGAATCACTTTAAGGATCACTTAATTTATTTAGTATTTATTTAGTTTATTTATAGCTGATTACATCACTCTTAATAATTATGGGACCAGAGCACAAAATTCTATTGTAATATGCGGGACCCGGTTAATAAAGAAAATTTTCAGTAGAATTTTTAGCAATCGGAAAACTCCCGTTACTTATCGTTAGAGTATACGTAATAGACTATTTTCATAAAATAAAAAGTGATATTTGTTACCATCTCCGGCTGCAGATCAAACTTTCGTTTAGTAGAAACATCTCTGGAAAAAAATCAGGATACATCATGTTACGATTTTGTGCTCTGATGGGAACTTTTTAATTTTTAATTTCAAAGCTAAAATTTAAATTAATAATATATTGAAAGTATATGGGATGTATCAATATTCAGCGATTAGCTATAAAATATGCAGATTTATATATATACAATTTAGAATTTGTACGGTTCTTGGTATATAATTTAAAATAGTAAATGCATTAAAATATGCTATAAAAAATACGTCATTTTTAATTTCATCGTTAACTGTATCATTCCGACTATTGTTGTAGCGACTTTCCCCAAAATTTCCGTATTACGTTTATTGGAAGAATTTTTATAATTCGATGATGCTTTTTCTTTTTCATCATGCTTACTTAGATAAAATTTATTATTGTTCTAATATTTTACTTAGTTACAAAGCATCATCGATAATATAATAACATTAATCGGAGTACAGCGGTTGCGGAAATTTTTGGTGAGGTCTCTGTACGAGTTATAGAAGTTAGACGAAACCTTTTTCGCATGATGACGAAAGTCGAACCCCAAATTCTTCTGACGAATGAGCTCAAAAAGACGAATCCCTCTAAAAACGAAATGAATTTGTAAGGTCACAAAGTAAGCACCAAGCGACTTTTCTCACTAGAACTGATACGTAGTGTACTAGTATAATACAATATAGAATACTGATTACTAACTCCTTTTAAACAATTCAAGCGCCTATTATACAATAAAATTTTTTGTAATATTTATAAATTCTTGTTTTTGTTAGTTTATTTTTTTATACACATCATCTTCAATTATTTTCAAAATTATTTATATATTCGTCTTTTATTAGTTTTTTCACCCTTTACAGTTTCGTCAATTTCGTCTTATCATTTAAGATTTTAATTGACGAAAGACGAAACTAGGTTTCGCGTTTCGTTAGCGCGAAACTCGAAATTTCGTCTAACAACTATAGCCGCAGTATTTAAGCATACTTAATACTGATATTTTGAATTGAAATAGAAAGGCAATAGCAAAAGAACATCATGCTGACTCATATTCTAATAAACTTGAATCGGAAGGTGAAAAACCTTAGCAAGTATATCTTGCAAGAACAATATATGAAAAAGGCATTAATAAATGCGCTTACAAGAACACTTCCGTGGCTTCTTTGAGTCTTATAATATGAACACGGATCAGAACATTAATCGATGCACTTTGTACTGTAGAAACAATCCCAATCATTTGAATATTAAATCCATCTTTTTTAATATCCAGATATTGGTTAAAAAATTGAATTAGTATCCGGACAAATTCATTGAATATTCGAATGCTTCTAGTGATTTGTCATATTATAATTCACATGCTTTTTTATTTATTTTAAATTAAAGACCGGATTGATGGAAAAGCATTTAGCAGATTGCACTTATAAATCAGCATGAATAAGAAATTAATAATAGATACATAGATTATTTCAAATATTTCAAATCGACTTGAATAAAAGATTGTTCAACCAAATCAGCATGAACGACAAACCAATAAAATTAACAAGAAGTCATACATTGCTTTCGGATGCTTTGATTAATAAATTATTTTATACTTTTAGGTTAAATTAACCTAAATAAGTGGCTTAATCAGAAATGGCAGATAATTTATGTTCTTACCGAAATAGAATAACTTAAGGAGCAGCAGCAAAAAATTTTTTGTCATATTTTTAGACTAATTTAATTATTTAGTACATCCACTACTATAATCATGCCACTAAATCAATGAAATAAGAATAGTGGATAAGCACTATTTATTTTTCGTAACGGCGGGAATAAGAAGTAAATTCCCGGTTATATGAGGGTCCGAAGAGCCTCATATAGCGGAGATCTACCGGCATATTTCTCCGCAGTGGATATAATTTATCATATAAATTGTAGTAGTGATTTCTTTTTTTTTTTTCTCACAAAATTATGCATCTTCATACTAGTGCTCGGCATAATCAAACTTTTGTTTGACACCAAATACATGTGACGATCTAACAAAAGTTAGCCCATCACAGGTATTTGAGTGTCAAAAAAAAGCTCGATTTTGCCGAGCAATACTTCATACAATATTGATAACGAGATCAGTATTGTATGTTTTTAAAATAGTTATTTACACCTTCTTACCATATCATTTGGTCATCCAACTTCTGTAATCCTAAAATACACATTTTGAAGGTCATTTCGTACGATCTGCTGTATGGATTTGTCATCGTGATGCCATAAAAATATTCAAATTTATGACATCACTGATCTTTTATGTGTTTTCATATGGTCGGAAATTTCGAGTTGGAGCGCTGTGATTAGGTGATAACAAAAGTGATAGTCATATGACATTTAAACTGCATATAAAAACTCACAAGTACTTCTCATCAGTGATCCCGATTTAGGTTAATTTTAGGATCACTACTCATAAATGGGATATAAAAACTCATAAGCAACTCATAAGCAATTAATAAGCAATTTTACGATCACTGATCAAATCATCACTTTTAATCTCAGTAATCACACCATATTTTATATTTTATTGGCCTGGAATCTATTTAATCTCATCGTTCAACCTATATAATCACAAAAATTAGAAATTTCCGCCCATATGTGGAGGATAATCAGATTTTACTCCCACAGCCATTAAACTCATATATAAATTAAGAATGTAAATTTTTCACACGAAAAAAATGAATGGTAATAATGTATAGAACACTCGTGATGGACGATAATTTATTATAAGAATATACTGTACGAGGTCAATTTTAGAGGCTTAGACATGATAATAAATTTTAAATTGGGGGTTTGTTTTTATTTAATCTCTTTTATTTAATCTATTTTATTTAATCTCTATTTTATTTGATATTTATTTTATTTAATCTCTTTTATTTAATCTCTGTTTTATTTAATCTCTATTTTATTTAATCTCTTTTATTTAATCTCTATTTTATTTATGGTGGTTTGCAAAAAGGTGTGACCCTGTGATTTCGTGATGATGATAGCGGAAAATTTCCGAGATTTTTATTCCTATTAATCATAATTTTCAATCAATAACGTCTATATTTTATTCGGAATCTTTAAAATTCTAAGAATCGAAAAATCCACTAGAATCGACCGATTTGTCGTGATTTTAGATCTGCAGAGGTCACACCTTCTTGCAAACCGCTATAATAACAGGCATTTTTTAATTATTTAAAATGATTGTCTACAGTACAAGGTACCTACAAAATCATGTGCATGATTCTCAAAATTCACGCGCATGCCATCATTAGTTCTGTTAATAATAGACAGGTTTGAATATTTGTTTAGAGTTAGATATTCGATCCGGATATCCTCTAATTTAATTTTAAACCAAATTTATTATAAAGAATCCGGATATTTGGATATCCATTAAATTTTAAATAAGAAAACGGATAACGGATCGCATCTCTAGTTTAGAGGTAGCTTTTATGTAATAAACCGAGCAATAAACTAATAGTTTGAATGGAGTCTATAATAATAACGGGTAATAATACATAACGATAATAATTTGTACTTAAAATGATACAATTTTTATTAATGGTTACCAAATTAGTTTAGAAAGATATACATTTAATTAATTTTTATAACTACCCCGAGAACACCAAAAATTTTCGGTAACACAAAATTTGAACATGTAAATCAAAACTATATGTGGTATCATACAAAAACTTAATAAAATTTTATATGGCGATAATTTTACGTAATTATTCGTCAAATTTAAATAGATACATTGTTCCAACTGTTTAATATTTTAAGAAATTTCTTTAAGTTTGAAGAAATGATTTTGTAACTTGGTAGAGCAATAATGTTGGTCTTTTCAAAAATTTATCCTAAAATATTAAACTGATAGGGTTATGCATTTTTTATATTTCGCAAAAAATATAATTTACGTGTCTAAAATAGACTAAAAAAACCAATCATCGTATTAAATACAAGAATAAATTCATTTCATAGAAAGTTTATTGTGACGAACATTCATATAAATCTTCCAATAAAATTAATATTAGTAATCAAATCACTTAACAAGCCTCATTAATAATTAACTGTCGGATAACTTATTTATGCACTTTAGAGTGCTTATGAGAATATAGCGTTTCACTAACGCTAATATAAATCACTCTAAAAGTCTTATTATTAGTGACTATGTAAAAGAATTTGAAAAGAATCTTAATACTGACCAGCTTAAAAGGCGAATACATGCTATTTAATATTGTTATGCTAGATGCACTTGAACGGTCCAAAAAAAGCACCATGATGTTTATTCTGTATATTGTTCATTTAAATCATAAGGATATTAGTGCATAATTTCAAGTTCCATGGCAAATATGTAGGGTATTGTCAATAACAAATAATATAGATTAAAAGGTTACGTGTCTTTAGTGATGATAATTAAAGAAAGATCATTAATTAAACGCATTAATAAACCAATTTTGCTACATAATATGTACTGCAATAAGATCGTTCATTCTTGAACCTTTCGTTAATTAGATAGCTAGACAGATAAATATTGCATGATCTTGCATATCAAAATTTCAGAGAAATAGAGCCCTAATACAATAACTAATTGAATATAATGCTAAAAATTTATTGCACCTGAAATTATGTCTGAGAATAGTATAGAAACGTGAATTACTTTTTAATTACTCGAAACACTTCATAATCCTCAATTTGTGAACCATTTATAATACCAACATTTGGATAATATCCGTTATTATTGGTATATACGTAATTTCCATTAAGACGTAAACATCCACCAAAATCTGGTCCATTATTACTATTACAACATATTGCATAAGAACAATAAGAAGGAGAAATGCGTCCTAATCTAGTATCTGATATATTATTAGGATCACTTAATGAAAATATAAAACTATTATTTGAATATTTATTCTGGCTATTCGTATCCCAACCAATTGGAGTGTAACCGCCAATAAGTTGGTTTGAATTTTTAATCTTTGCCACGACAATTGTTGCACCTTTTTGGTCACATTTTTGATGAAATATATTATTTTGAAGACCATCTCTACTGCCACGGAATAAAAGAATAAATCTATAAGGAGGCTTATCTTTATAATAATCATTCTTTTTTTCATCAATCCAGCTTGCAAATAATAACGTGTGAGATAAATTTATCAAAATTGAGTTAACACTAATCCTAGGAGGAAATGCATTATAAAGAGGTACTGCATTCGGAACCATATAACAGCGTAAAATATCATTGAACAGGTTATTTGGAAGAATAGAAATATACGGAAATACTTTATGATAAAAATCTGGCATGCTAATTTCGTGAAACCTAATATATTGAATACATCTTTGTAATGTTTTTTCTAATAATTTAAAATCATCCTGATCGAATTCGGTCACATTATGCTTAAGTTCACTATTCTGAGCAATTCCCCATTTAATTAATCGTTCCCAAATTTCACCTTCTTCCATTATAAGTTCATTCTGCTTAAGAATTAGTATTAACACATCTTCATCTAATGCAAGGTACTTATTATTTGAATCAAAAAGAATGTCAGGGTTTGCACAAATAGTCTCTAAAGCAAACTTTCCTATCTTATTAAAAGTTTCATAACGAGCAACCATATGAAGCATGCCTACAGGATTTTCTTCTAAAAAACCTTTCTGATTTTCAATAAAATATAGGATATAATCAATAAGTGATATGAGACCAAATTCATCCGAGGCAATCAAAAGCTCAAAAATTGTTTCTCCATCTTGATCTTGAATATCTACTTCCCCACAATATAAAAATCTATTTATGAAATAATAATACGTATTATAGTTAATCTTTAATAAAATCTATTACAATTCTAATTATTTTGCTACTTACTTAAGGATAAGTTCAAAAATTGATGGAAAGATATTAGGTTTCTTAAAGATAAAACAACCACTATTTTTATCTTTTATTGCCCAATCAGAAGCAAGAGCTCCACGAAAATAAGCAGATCTAGTACGAAGAACCAAAGAATGTGCATGAATTTCTTCAGTATCGGGCTCTTCGCCGACATAAATAATTACATCATAATCTTCCCTTGTTTCATAAACTTGTTTATAATCTTCAGCTATGTCAGTAAGTAACCTTGAGCTCATTGTATAAATTTTGACGATAAAATGAATAACTGTATGATAGAAACAGGATTAGATATAAGAAATTATTTATCTGGAGAAGGACGGGACGGTTTAAACTGTGACCGTGTTACTATGTGGTTTTGGAGAGCGAAGAACAACAATGCAAATCAAACTTTGATAGTAGTATGGGGAAGGAAAATGAAGCGTAGGAAAATGAGCAGGGCAGAATATATATATATAATAATGGAGTTAGGTAGCTAAAGTTAATTATATAAATAAACACGGATGCTTATTTAAGCAAGAAGGGATGGTTGAGTATTGTCTATAAAAGATACGTAAATTAATAAGCAATTAAAAATTAAATAAGAGAAAGAACTGAAAAAGGTAAAACAAGTAAATATTCTAAACAATTATATACGTATAATCGCTAAAGATATTATTAAGACTTAATGCATATATTAGCTATCAACAATTATTATTTTTAATTTAATATACTATATAATTATTTAATAATTCAAATCAAAAATAATATAAATCAAATAAAAGAGGAATCCGATCCTTATTATAATTGTCAGAAAATAAGTCGAGGCCTGAAGAACTTAAAGGTTAAACGTTGGTTATTTATACAAGTTTTGAAGAGATTTACAATAGCACAAATATTTTTCCATTGGGGGTTTCATAATTAACTTATTTTCAAATTAAGTAAATTAAGTGGGAATTTAAAAGATCCTATTTCTTTTTTTAGAATTCTGAATCATGTGATGTCCCGATGACCGAAAAATACTGTAATATCAACAACATAATGACCTATGTTATAAAGTCGACTTTCCTTTGCACTGCACCTTTAGTTACTATTATTTATATCTTTATTTGCGCATAACTTTAAAGAAAAGAAAAATATATTTATTTATTTATTTATTTGATCTACTAATTCTTCAAATTCTTTAAATCAAACTTGCCTAATAATTACGCAACAAAACATGAATTTATATGATAAAAAAAAATTGTATCTTATGAGATTTATTCATTCGCTAAAATTTCTTTAAATAACTTATTTGTATTTTCGTAAGGAAAATTTTCTTAGTTCTCTAAATCATCTTTTTAACGTTACTTTTACTGTATTACAAGTAAATTATAGCCAACTCTTTCGATAATAAACTGACGTAACTGAAAAAAATAAATTCATTGTAGAAAGGTTCGTCATACTGTATAGAGTCTGCCATATATAAAAAAAAATGTATTGAATAAAATTATTTATAAAATTTTTTTTTTCCATTAAATAAAATGCACAAATCTATTAAATAATATTTATTTTTTTTGTCAAAGAATTTACAGTATTTTTTCAAATTACAAACAACATACGTACAGTACGTACGTACGTATAAGTCTATAACTGATAATTGATTGAGAAATTTTGAATTCCGGAGTAGCCATCCGAACCGACATCCGGAGCGCAACCTTGTACACATTTCGGTATGCCTGAAATAAATACGTCTCTTATTTTATCTGAAATTGTGGCGCTGAATCAGTAATTCTGAAACCCTCATTGGTACTAAATTTATAAGCTAATCTGATTTACACGTACGTACAGGTAGAACATCCGATCGCCAACGCTCATCTGAAGTACGTACGACCATGATCACGACTTCTTCATATGATCAAAAGAAAAAAAAACAACACCGATAGTATCTACAGTAAGTTTTCCAAATATAAAGTGAAAAGGGAATCGAATGGTACAAAGATCATTCGATTCAGATCACTGAATCACGAGATACTGTCGATTATGAAAACATTCATATAAGGAAAGTGACTTTTTTTAAGCTCTAAATTGTTTACTCCACTATACGATGTTTGAGTTTTCCCACTCTTTTATCGATAGTTTCTCAATGACCGTTAAACCAAATTCAATAAATCTTTTTTTTTTTTTTTTTTTGATTCTACAAAAATATAGAATTAAAATAAAAAAATTTTCACTAAATTTGATCAAGTAGTTATTGAGAAACCTTCGCAAGAATTTTTTAATTTTACATGTACCTTGAAATATTATTAATTGACTTTTACAAAAAATTTTTCCACAAGAATTTTGGTGAAACAGTACAGAGATCACCCAATTAATCATGAGACGATCCAAATTGAGTACGCATACTAATACATACATTCAGTACGGTTGATTAGTACTTTATGAGCTGTACGTAATAGTAATAGTAAGTACGGTGATTACCGGCATTAATGATAAATGTAATTCACTACGTACGTACGTGTGTACTGTACATACCGATAATTTAACTAAATTAAATTACAAATATCAATGACATAACTCAATCGATATAAGAAAAATGTCATTTGCAAATCTTTTTTATCCAACAATTTCTAAAAAAATAATGGATACAAAATCTAATATCAATATCAATACTAATGTTTCGGGCGAAATTGGTTTACATTTCCGAAATATTTCGGATTTTATAAAGTGATCCGAAATAAAAATTCCAAATTCCGAAATCAAGACGAAAATCCGATACTTCCGATATTTCTGATATTTTCCGAAATTCAAATATGGAATCTTTGCCTTGAAAATGAACTTACGGTACATGATACCGTAAGGTCATTTTCAAGGAAAAGACCCATATTATAATGATTAGTGGTGTGAAGTGTTGCTATCATATTTGAATAGCTTATTTCGAATACTGTTGAACTTCCCAAAACCGATCCTGCCAAAGTTGATAACCTGTCAAATCTCATAAAAAATTAATCCACCAGGTCTATTCCGCTATTTGAATCTAAATGTTTCCAATCTGATGACATTTCAATACTGACATAAAATCTGTCCACCAAGCATATCGGTTTTGAGAGGTTTAACAGTATGTATTTTTTAATGAAACGTCCAATTCTTTAATGGGATACATTGTGTTCCAATTATTTATACACATTCAAAGTGCATTAACGATCCTTACACATACATAAGTAGTTAATGCGGCAAAAAGAAAAATATTCACGAATTTAAATGTTGTTAAAACCTCCCAAAACCGACATGCATGGTGGATAGATTTTGTATCAGTATTGAATTTGAAAATATTATAAACTATTAGATTTATATAGCGAAAACAGATTTGGTGAATTAAATAGTTTATAATGTTATCAAAACAAATGACCTCAATACTGATACAAAATATGTCAGCTATGCTTATCGATTTTGAAAAGTTTAACAGCGGTTGAAACTGGGCAGCGAAGCTCCCCGTATATGCAATTGTCTAATTAACATATAAATTACAAAATTATGAACCCCAAAAAAATTTCAAACTATTGAATCACGTTTTAAACATGGCCAATCATAGCTTCGGACAATTTCGGACTCTTCGAATTGAGTCTAAAATATGGGCAATTGCGGATCTTGTCAGACATTTCAGAAATTTGCATGCTGGACGAAATTAGTATCGCCCAAATTTCGGATTCGGATTTGGCGAAACATTAAACAATACCAATACGTTCTATACAAGTTCAAGAAATAACGATTTTCAAAACAACTCGATGTAATTGTGCTATCCGATGCAGACGAAGAACCAACGCTAGTAATATTATACTTTCAAATTAAGAAATATTATAAATATCTTAGAAAATAAAGGTATATTAATTATTTTATTATTATTATTATTTTAAATGTCAAATAAGGTGCTTCATTATGATATAAGATAAATTGTTACAATATTAAGTACATCGTTTAACATGATCATAATCTATTTATTAAAGAATTCCAATTCACTTGTGTACTAATTTTTTCACATATATCGTGATAATTCATAAGTATTTTTATGCAGTAATAAAAAAATCTTTAGTAAAAAAAATTAATTAAAATAATTAAAAGAAATACTACCACTATATTTAAGCTTATTTCTTCAAAAAACTAATTAATTATAGTTAAAACAATAGTAATATTTACTAATATATGATAAATAAAAGTTAAACTATAATACTGTAATAGTAGTTTTAAAGATTTAAATTTATTTATATAAATTTTATTTTATAATATACACTTTAAAGTATGTAAATTTAAACATTCATCCAATTTATTCTACAAAAATAAGAAACATATAAGTAAAATTTTAAAATAATAATGCACAAAAACACTAGCAAAGTATATTGTCAAATACTTTGTAGTTCATTAATAACTCACCACTTATTCAATAATTAACTAGCGAATAATAATAATTTGAAGATTTTAACGGCATTGGCTCTGTTAAATTATATATTGTTAGATAAAGTGTATATATTATTTAAAATTATAAAATCATAACTATTAATTTTATACTTACAAATAGTTTTTTTAAAAATGTATATTATTAAATATAAAGAAAATTAAAGTAGGTAATTTTAAAATTATAAATAAAAATTAAAACAAATATATAAAATTGTGTTTTACTTACCGGCTAATAATTTATAAACATATGTTAAAATATTTGCCAAATATATACTTTAAAATTATTAATATTAAAAATAAATATAATAAAGCTTATACTTACTGACTGATAATTTGGTAGAGTTATTTGTTAAAGCATTTTTAGATACATATTTTAAATGATTAATGTTATTAAAAAATAAATATAATAAAGCTTATACTTACCGACTGATAATTTGGTAGAGTTATTTGTTAAAGCATTTTTAGATACATATTTTAAATGATTAATGTTATTAAAAAATA